CGACACATGATTTCCCGTCCTCAACATCACTCGAGTCGGAGAGAGTCTGTTGCCAGTGTATTGCTGTCGTGGGGCGATGGGTAGTCCTGTTGTTGATGCGTTCGCTCGTCTCGCCGAAGGCCCGGGTTCGATTCCCCACGCGGTTACAATGTGTGAAGCCCATTTATGGTATCACCCTGGCGTGGTATTGCTGGAAAATTGTGAACATCAGCGTAAAATCATACTCATTCACTTATTACTTACATGTTTTTAAGAAATCGTCAGCAAATGAATATTGCATCCTTGCCTCTTCATCATTGTATCAAGTTTCTATCGAATACCGACATATTTCAGATTGTTTTATTGTCATATCAAACGTAAATAATAATGGATGCTCCAGTGCTGTGTAAACATGTCAAACAGTCCTTTATAACTTCAAATATGCATTTATATGGAGTGAATAACTGAATCAGTTGTTTAACGCCGATTCACACATTATATTTCAGTTATATCACGCCATGTCATCTAAATGTGGGATGATGGTGTGTGTGTGTGTGTGTGTGTGTGTGTGTGTGTGTGTGTGTGTGTGTGTGTGTGTGTGTGTGTGTGTGTGTGTGTGTGTGTGTGTGTGTGTGTGTGTGTGTGAAGGTGTATTTGAAGGTGTGTGTTTGTGCGTGTATTGGCGTGTGTGTGTGTGTGTGTGTTTGTGCGTAAGTGTATTGGCGTGTGTGTGTACGCGGTGTGTGTGTGTGTGTGTGTGTGTGTGTGCGCGCGCGCGTGTGCGTGCGTGTATTGGCGTGTGTGTGTACGCGGTGTGTGTGTGTGTGTGCGTGTATTGGCGTGTGTGTGTACGCGGTGTGTGTGTGTGTGTGCGTGCGTGCGTGTGTGTGTGTGTGTGTATTGGCGTGTGTGTGTACGCGGTGTGTGTGTATATGGTGTTTTCTTATCACCCTGCTCGGCATTATTTCAGCTATATGACGACGGCCCGTGATGAATAGAGTTTTGTCCAGACAAACCGGTGGTTGATATTGTGAGCAGCATAGGTTGCTAGGGATCAATTCTAACTCAGAATTCCCACGGGGAATGAGGGATGGAATCAGAAGAAGTTTCCACATTGTTGAAGCCAGCGAACACGGATATAGTTCTACCGCACCATATTCAGTTCGTGACTGGAATCAACCAACCGATCCTTAAACGGCAAAGGGGCGCATCACGTTACCAATAATAACAGAATATTCTTGGAAAGTAACATATCTCAGATTGTTGCAATGTTTTGTATGTACAATCGTCTGTATGGTAGCAACTGAAGTATATAAAACCTATTACAAAATTGTATTTTTGTTGTTGAAAGAGTATATATGTTATGACAGCATCTTTCAATTGCAGTTCCTCACTTCGTGAGAAGTAAAATGTAGTGAAACGATAGATGTCAACTTTATTGTACGTTGTATATCTTATATGGTGAAGGCAAACTGTCACATCTGATTGTGTTGTATGTTGTTGCATACGTTCACCCGCTTCAGAAATGAATGGCATATCAATTATCTCTAATCAACGTCAATTACATTACTCCTGAGCCCAGGCGTTGGATTGTTAAATTTCGGTTATCATAACTATTGCAAACTAAAACCATCTTTCTTATTATCTAAACTGAGCCAGTACATACGAAAAGTCGCGTAATCATTCGATATGCGACAGATTCACCATGGCAACAGTCCATTGTTTATCATGGATTTACATGAGTTTTTTTCACTTGTACGTAAAGCGATAACTTCGAACGTAGTTGCCATTAGTATGACCTGCTGCCATGGCAACGTGTAGAACGGTGCTGAAAACAATAGGAAGTAAATGTGCCCGACCTATGACTAACCATGTGAGTAATCACATCCCGTACAGGTTTCCATACATTTCCTGACCTACATGAGAGGGGGTCGCCACAGTATCCGCGGGTCAACCCATGTACATTCTGTATTCCACAAAATGTAACGAATAATTCAAAATTGAATATCTCTATTTCAAATCATTTGTGACGTGTTTATTTATAAATCACTTTCAGTTGTTGCATTGAAGATAAGATCCTTGATTGTATTTGTCTCATTTGATTGTTGACTTTTCGATTCGTCCCTAAATACACATAAACAACTATTTACAAAGCAAATAAACATTTTAGTAATATATTCAGAGTATTAAATACCGCATTTTGTTTTGTTTCTTTGGACTGGACATTTCAAAATCTGTCATGCTCTTAACTATATTCTAAGGGTATATATAGACGCTGGGCCTGGATGGAATATATTCCAGAGGTAATCTACAAATAAAATATTGATGTTTACACAATACTTTGAAAACGCGGTGTTCCGGCGTCTGTATAAATCGGAATGAAGTAATTATCGAATAACTGTTTAACTTTGAGCAAAAATAATCATATTAAGTTTTCAAAATGCGAGCATTTTCGATATGCAATTTTGTTTTATGTTAAATCCGTATTTGAGACATTTTGTCATTTTCTTTGAGGATACATACCTTTACCAAGCCTACTCGCAGGTATATTTGTATGGTATTAGTCTAATCACGCGTGTTTTTTCCTTTTATATGTCAATGCGTGATGCGCAAATATTTTTGTCACAGAACCATAACGTTTTAGCATATTCATCCTGAGTATATATCGTATCTTTACTGATACCGTTACACATGACAATGCAGCACGGCGAGTATAGATTACATCTGTGGTATATTACTAGTAATGTGAGTATATATCGTATCTGTACTGATACCGTTACACATGACAATGCGGCACGGCGAGTATAGATTACATCTGTGGTATATTACTAGTACTGTGAGTATATATCGTATCTGTACTGATACCGTTACACATGACAATGCAGCACGGCGAGTATAGATTACATCTGTGGTATATTACTAGTACTGTGAGTATATATCGTATCTGTACTGATACCGTTACACATGACAATGCAGCACGGCGAGTATAGATTACATCTGTGGTATATTACTAGTAATGTGAGTATATATCGTATCTGTACTGATACCGTTACACATGACAATGTAGCAAGGCGAGTATAGATTACATCTGTGGTATATAACTAGTAATGTGAGTATATATCGTATCTGTACTGATACCGTTACACATGACAATGCAGCACGGCGAGTATAGATTACATCTGTGGTATATAACTAGTAATGTGAGTATATATCGTATCTGTACTGATACCGTTACACATGACAATGTAGCACGGCGAGTATAGATTACATCTGTGGTATATTACTTGTAATGTGAGTATATATCGTATCTGTACTGATACCGTTACACATGACAATGCGGTACGGCGAGTATATATTACATCTGTGGTATATTACTAGTACTGTGAGTATATATCGTATCTGTACTGATACCGTTACACATGACAATGCGGCATGGCTAGTATATATTACACCTGTGGTATATTACTAGTACTGTGAGTATATATCGTATCTGTACTGATACCGTTACACATGACAATGCGGCATGGCGAGTATATATTACACCTGTGGTATATTACTAGTACTGTGAGTATATATCGTATCTGTACTGATACCGTTACACATGACAATGCGGCATGGCGAGTATATATTACAACTGTGGTATATTACTAGTACTGTGAGTATATATCGTATCTGTACTGATACCGTTACACATGACAATGCGGCATGGCGAGTATATATTACACCTGTGGTATATTACTAGTACTGTGAGTATATATCGTATCTGTACTGATACCGTTACACATGACAATGCGGCATGGCGAGTATATATTACACCTGTGGTATATTACTAGTACTGTGAGTATATATCGTATCTGTACTGACAATGCGGCATGGCGAGTATATATTACACCTGTGGTATATTACTAGTACTGTGAGTATATGGTGCTACTGATGCTGCGAGGTTTGCCTCTTTTGCACCGTGAGTATTATATACTCGCTCAACCTGCAGTTACTTGGATGTCGGCCAAGTGTTGTTAATTTCATGTTGCCTAGTTTGTGCCTGGGGAGTGTGGCTTGGAACGTGTGTCTTCACGGACAGCTGTTTCAAGCAGACTACGTGATCTATGTACTATGTAGGTATCGATAGCAAATCCAACTGCATATATTTCCATAACGTTCAATATGAAATATTTCATTAGCGTGTAAAAAGGTAACTGCGTGTTTTGTAGTTGTGTTATCTACAGCCATTACTTATCTTGTCGATGAGATTCAGAGTAAAAAAATAGTAGAGAGAAAAGTATTATGTAATAAAATAGGTTGACCTCCACGTGCACACACACGTCAGTCACTTCTCCTGTCCTGGTTGGGTTGAAAACGGATACTTGTCCACCACCAGGTGTCGGAAATTAAATCGAGTCACATGACGTCGCGCGGTTGACCCAGAATGCTGACCCAAGACCTTGTATTTGCGACTTCATCATCGTAACGTGGACTGCAGCTGTGTAGTCACGAGTCATGTGCATATACACCATGTGACTTGGGATTGTGTTTCAAACTGTAGAATCAAATATAGTTTCGTGAAAGCCATCGAGAGCCGAGTCTTGTAAAATATGACATTATTATTCTGCTTCTTGATATTATTTGCTGTATATTTTTGTTTTGTTTGTGTCAACCTATTTTAATGATGTTTCGGTCACTTGGCTATGTTTTTTGGATGAAAACCCAGGTTCGATTCCACACATGGGTACAATGTGTGAAGCCCATTTCTGGTGTCCCCCGCCGTGATATTGCTGGAATATTGCTAAACGCGGCTTAAAACCATACTCACACAATTATTAATCGTCAGCGCTACAGGTATGTGTGTGCCCTTGACGTATGTGTATATGTGTGACGATGTGTATATATTATATATGTGTGGCGACGGAGAGTGGCAATATGTGTGGGATGGCGGGTGTGACCAGTGTTAACATGGCGAACGGCGGATGTGTGTTACACCACCCTACCCCAAACTATGTACTATTATGAAGAAAACAAACTCATTTTCAGCGTATGACAATAATTTAATTGTCTCATTTTTTCTATAAACAAAGATGAAAAGAACATAATAAAGCCCTAGACATGATACTTCATATTCATATAAAAAACATGCGCAGCACCAAATTGTCACGTGACCAGCACGAATCTGTTTCCATGTTCACAGAAATATATAATTGAGTCTCTCTTTCTCAGTCTTTGTATTACACATGCACCCGATCTTCACAGAAACCGCGAGGTCAACGTGGAAAATAAATATCTGTCCATGACATACGTATAAAGTCCAGTGAGGCTGCCATAAAAGGTCAGCCAGGAAACATGAAGCATTGTCCACATGTAAGAGTCGTACAAAATGTATTAGAAATCCGTACAAAAGCGTATGAATACGGCAAGGCTGGGTGTGGAGAGGCTGTGCGGAGGCACTTCCGTCTCTCTCCATGCATACGTCCGCCACACCGACACAAGGACACAGACTCCAGTCAGCAGTACCCCCCCGGGAAAGCCTCGGGTGGGGTAAAGGCAAAGTCATACTGGCTCAATGATGAGGTAAAATTAAGACAAGGGAAGTCCTTACAATGAAATGAGGGTAGGAGAACCTACTGCTTCTGAGCCGCTCTCGCTGGAGCTGCGATGAGCTTGGCTGGCGCACGATGTAGAGACGGGCGTTAAACCCGTGCCTCCATCCACTAAACTATCTAATCCGTTGAAGGAGAACAGCCCATTGGAAGGCGTACTTATTGGAACTCCGGCAACAGATTTCTGCTTTTCCTGCTTGACGAGGGACAGAGAATTGGGCCTGTGGCTGTTGGGCGTTGAGAACTTAGAGTCTGAATGGTTGGCCGCACAGGCGACGTGAGAACGGGGCTCGGTCTTCACTTTGATCGTATCCACTTTCATGTTGATGGCGGACTCGACCTTGCAGAGAGGCTGATGAGCCTGCAGGATGAACTCGAGCTGATCCTTCTGCTGTTGCAGACTCTGGATCTCACTCTCCAGGTTGCTTCTCTCGCTCTCAAGCTTGTCGGTTTCCTGCAATACAACACACAGCACATAAGTACAAGCACAGCGATACAACATACGGATACAATATACAACATGAACTGAACACAATTCAGCGGTAGAAACGAACATTTCGAGTCCACTAGTTCTTAAATCGATAACTTTTAGCAAACCCTTAGAAATGGTAAATTATTCCTCATGATACCTAAACCACCGGGCAGTTTGGCAAGGTCTACAGGACGAGTGCCAATTTCTAACGCTGCAACTCCGATCAAGTCAGCATCAAAATAATTGGAATTGATAAGTCTTAATGAACTTAGTGTTAACACTACTCAATGAAGTTGTTTAAGTCAGTTATATATTTATTAAGACACTATCGGCAATGGGACAGTCCCCAACATATCCCTCTGTTAAATTATGTTACACTTGAGAACAACATGTATGGAGAGAGATATTTTAGCATTAGACTGAACAGCACTTACGTCCACAAGTTGGTTTGTGTGGTCCACACGTCGCTGTCGGCACTTAGCAGCCGCAACCTTGTTTCTCTCTCGGCGAACTCGCCGACGCTCGCACTCTTCCGGAGTTAAATCCTTAAAAAATAGAATAAGCCCATTAGCGATTGTGACAATAACACCAACAAACTTTTCTCATAAAGCGCAACCGGATTCATTATTTTCTGGGGAACTTAACAGGAATCGTTAATCTCTGATCGGCCATTAGTGTCAGAACAAAGACATATTGATGTGTCCTTTTTATAACAATGATTTTACCCGTAAGATATTAGGCTAACACAGATGGTATTCCCCAGGCGATAAAGACGTATATCTCAATGGGTGCTCTATGAAGGCGATACCCCCAGGCAGTGTCAGTAGGAAGTGTCTGCTGTAGTCAATGTTTTAAAGAACAGTGCCCGAGGATGTATTTTCAGTCGCGACTAAATGCCTTTTCTAATCAGCCGTGACAAGACAGTGATCATCAAAATACCATGACAGGTCACTCAGTGAATGCTTTTATTTCAACAGCCGCGGGCTACACCTATACTTGATAATTGGCAAACACTTTAGCGGCTGATTTTGAAACAGCAAAATATTTGTAATATTGAATGGACGGTTTTATTTACCTTATCATCATAACGTCTTCTTTTGCGTCCGGATCCTTGGTAGGACGGTGTATTTCCGTCCACGTCTGAGTAGGGTCGTTTGGCTGAGGAGATCCATTCTTGGTCGGAGTTGGAATCGCTGTAGTCGTAGCCGTCCCTAGAGTGCTCCTGGGACACGGGGTCGACGATGGGGGGGACGAAGCCGCTCTGGGTGAGGGGGTCCTGGCTTGCCGAGCTGACGGGCACCGACTGAAGTTCGATGAAAGTGCGCTCAATGCTGGCAAGGGTTGTTGGGGTTAGGGTAGGGGTCGTGGCAGTTGTAACCCCGCTCAGGTACCCAGGCAATGAGTACTGAAAAAATAACACAAATATATACTAATTTTGTATAGAGCAAACATATTTTCACACTTAACTCAAAGTGCGCATTTAAAATACATTTTCTTAAAATCAATGAAACCGTAAAAATCAATACGATTTTCACATTTCTAGTATAATAGTATATTCAAATCGAATGTGAAATACTTTAAAAAGTTTGAAAGTTTCGCTCAGGCGTTTACCTACCCATGGGTACGGGTTACAGTTATAATCCATTCGATAATAATCCGACATTGTTGGTAGGTACAGAACTCGCGAGTGTACAAAACTGACAGGCGCTCTCCCTTAGCGTGAGAATGCAAGTGCAACAACTCGCGGCCTGTCGAGCTCCTATCTTTTATATCTGTCAAATGTCATCGTCACGGATTTAACCAAGCGTTCAGAACGGAACCTAAATCATGAGGAGCCTGTGTTGCCTGGGTCAGGTCACGACCCCGCTCCACCAGCCAATCAACGAGGACCCCACGCGCTGTGGCTGGAGGCGAGACTTGCTGTCACTAGATCTGAACTAACGCAGGCTCGCTTTGTTCAGAAGCAAAACTAACCGCGTCTGATAACAACATACTATTGCGATACGAATTTGAAATTTGAAACTGAAATCGTTGAATTACAAAGTTCTCGGTACTTTTTGAACATCGTAAGCAAAAATCAAATAGTTAACGGTATATGTTATGTAAGAATTCCTTTGTCCACTTACCCTGGCCATTTTGGCACAAGATGATGCCATATAGCATGGCGGTAGGTGAGGCGGATAGGGTGGTGTATCTACGTACAGCATAGTAACTGGTTCTCTCTCAACTCCCAATACAAAACACAACCGACAGGTCCGGGGCTGAACTTCGCAATGTCAAGTTCACGACCGACCGGCAGTTTTATTCACGACAAAAATTTACTCTGTCAATATAGCGAGGTTAGCGAGTTAGGCCACACGGTGCACAACCTAAGCCCTAGCCAGTGCCTGCGCCAAAACTAACAACAATTGTGTTCTTAGAACAAATATGAGAGAAAACAATACGTACATTTGGGGTTACAGGCTCGCCATTTGCCATGGACGATAGAATGTCAGCCACGTATTTCGACTCGGTCGTGTAGCTTGAGTCTTCCTCGCGAGACGTAAACATTTTGGTAGCCAGTTTGACGATTTCGTGAGACATACAGTCAATTCCTGTGAAGTTGTCACTTATATTTCGTAGTTACTCGGGTAGACCGTTACTTCCGTGGTTTAACTGGAGATTCTCGCTATGAGTCAGGTTATATTCTGTGCAGGGAATACCTCTACCGTGCTTTATACTGGCGTGACTCACTGTTAGTCATTCGCTAAAAATAGCACAATGATCTCACCCTGTCACGTGACGCGTGGTCTACTCTGCCTTATTTGGGTGTTGTTTGTGACGTCACAGGTGTTTACGATAAGGTGTGACGTGATGTTTGGCTATTCTCCAAGCATGAGAGGGCAACCCCGGAGATTCCACTACTATGAAGGCTGAATATATTAGTATATTTCCTCATTATGTTCATTCGTGATCTAGTTCTACGGGCCACGAGTGTCGGCTCAGGGAAGCTGCCTAAACTGTGTAATATGTACATCGCTGGCTGGACATTCGCAACAGATTGAGGTCATAGATCTTATAGGTCATATGTTACAAGATTTATTGCATAGAAGTTTCTAGATTGGCAAATATCGTATCAGTCTAGAGCCATGTGCTTGTATATTATTAGCCGTTTGTGGACTATAAATAGCTAATGAGCTAATATTGTTATATTGATCTGTTGTGCTGGCGGTCTCGCCAATAATCCCCGCACTCGCTCAACTCTCTGTCTGCAACGGCTATTTCAATAATTAAACGTTGTTTATATTTACAAGATCAACAACAACAACAAAACAACGGCATCGATGGTCGTACTTGTCAAAATACTGGGGAGAGAAATGGTATTGATCGCAAAAATGTTCTACATGTGTGACGAATATTATCATTTAAAAAAATGACATGGGCATTACTGTATAAAAAAGACAAACTTCCTCAGTCCTGTGGTAGAAAGACATATCTTCATCAATTTGTTCCAATGTGTAGTAAAGATATTCTTTTAATTAGGTCAACACAATTTATTTTAATCTAGGTCAACAATGTTGCATTGTATCTAAAAAAAACGTCATTTTCGGTACCATGAAATGTGATGCAATCTTAAAACGTAAAATAAACACAAACTAACCCGAAAACCAACATAAAACCGTGTTTTGTAAATAATTTCACATTCGTATTCTTGTATATTCTAATAATTTTTTTTTTTAAATACCCCCAAGTAATCAGTGATATCATTATACAAAGGTATCGATCGTTATAAAAATGGTGTGACTAATATGTGAGACATTCATCATATTCTTCATTGGCACCGGTCTCACCGTTCTACGCAGCGCGTATCTATTTTTGGCTGTGACGTAGCGGTGACTATCTCTGATTGGTAATAGTGGTGCCAGTCATTGTAGGTAGAGATGGTGAGTATGTTTCTCTGAAGACCAGAGTACGCTAATGTAACATGTTATCCAACAGTCTCTCTAGATTCTTACACATGTGTATACTACGTAGTAAGTCAATTTACAGACGTAATATCATGACAAAGTTTGTTGATGAATGTTACACGGCGTGGACATGCAGAATCACACACCTGGCCACTCACAAGACCATGGCGCTGTCCAGTCACCTTTGGTCCCTCCGAACCAAAATACTGATGGCCGGTGCACCAGCAGCGACCACGGTGCCATTGCGTTTATGTCAGTGATGAGGACAGGGTCTCTCTTAAACTCTCATACAGGTTTCACAGTATGGCATGTGTTGAAATGAAAATCGTATATGGCAATGTGTTTTGAACCAAGAACTAACGGGCCTCCAGTCACTGGAGCGTGTGTGTGTGTGTGTGTGTGTGTGTGTGTGTGTGTGAGCGTGTGTGTGTTGTGTGTGTGTGTGTGTGTGGTGTTGTTATCGTGTGTGTGTGTTGTGATCGTGTGCGTATGTGTTTGTTGTGAGCGTGTGTGTGTGTGGTGAGCGTGTGTGTGTTGTGAGTGTGGGTTTGTGTGGTGTTGTGAGTGTGGGTTTGTGTGGTGTTGTGATCGTGTGTGTATGTGTTTGTTGTGAGCGTGTGTGTGTGTGGTGAGCGTGTGTGTGTTGTGAGTGTGGGTTTGTGTGGTGTTGTGAGTGTGGGTTGGTGTGGTGTTGTGAGCGTGTGTGTGGTGAGCGTGTGTATGTTTTGAGCGTGTGTTGTATGTATGTGTTGTGAGCGTGTGTGTGCGTTATGTGTGTGTGTTGTGATCGTGTGTATGTGTTGTGATCATGTGTATATGTGTGTGTTATGAGTGTGTGGGTTGGTGAGCGTGTGTGTTTTGAGCGTGTGTGTGTGTGTTGTTGTTATCGTGTGGGTGTTGTGATCGTGTGTGTATGTGTGTGTTATGAGTGTGTGTGGTGTGGTGAACGTGTGTGTGTGTGTTGTTATCATGTGTGTGTTGTGAGCGTGTGTGTTGATATCGTGTGTGTTGTACGTGTGTGTGTTTCGAGAGCGTGTGTGGTGTGAGTGTGTGATGTGAGCGCGTGTGTGTTGAGAGCGCGTGTGTGTCTGTTGTGAGCGTGTGTGTGTTCTGCGAGCGTTTGGTGTGTGTGTGTTGTGAGCGTGTGTGTGTGTGCGTGTGTTGTGAGTGTGTGTGTGTGTTGTGTGGTGAGCGTGTGTGTGCTTTGAGCGTGTGTGTGTGTGTGTGGTGAGCGTGTGCGTGTTGTGAGTGTGGGTTTGTGTGGTATGGCGAGTGTGTGTGTTGTGAGCGTGTGTGTGTTGTAAGCGTGTGTGTGTGGTGTGTGTTGTTATCGTGTGTGTATTGTACGTGTGTATGGTGTGACGACCGTGTGTGTTTTGAGCTTGTGTGTGTGTGGTAAGCGTGTGTTTGTTGTGAGTGTGGGTGTGTGTGCTGTGAGTTTGATGTGTGTGTTGTGAGCGTGTGTATGTGGTGTGGTGTGAGTTTGTGTGGTGTGGTGAGCGTGTGTGTGATGTGAGCGTGTGTGTGTGGTGTGGTGTGAGTTTGTGTGGTGTGGTGAGCGTGTGTGTGTGTTGTGAACGTGTGTGTGTGTGGTGTGGTGTGAGTTTGTGTGGTGTGGTGAGCGTGTGTGTGTGTTGTGAGCGTGTGTGTGTGGTGTGGTGTGAGTTTGTGTGTTGTGGTGAGCGTGTGTGTGTTGTGATCGTGTGTGTAAGTGTGTGTTATGAGTGTGTGTGGTGTGGTGAGCGTGTGTGTGTGTTATCGTGTGTGTGTTGTTATCGTGTGTGTGTGTGTGTGTGTGTGTGTGTGTGTGTGGTGTGTGTGTGTTGTGATCGTGTGTGTTATGAGTGTGTGTGGTGTGGTGAGCGTGTGTGTGTGTTATCGTGTGTGTGTTGTGAGCCTGTGTGGTGTGAGTGTGTGTGTGAGTGTGTGTGTGTGTGTGTGTGTGTGTGTGTGTGTGTGCCATATATATCACATCCATCATCATAGTTATAATACGCTATATTCAATAATCATGGAAACACCCTGTTCGTAGCTTTGATAGTTATCCACGTGTTGCCACTGAGGAATAATGTGCCATCTCACGAACAATGAAGTGTATGGTCTGCTGGTATGGTCGTTATTTAGTGTGCGTATTGCGTTGTGGTTATTCATGTATTATCCCCACCGAGCGGTTGTAATTTAGTGTGCGTATTGCGTTGTGGTTATTCATGTATTATCCCCACCGAGCGGTTGTAATTTAGTGTGCGTATTGCGTTGTGGTTATTCATGTATTATCCCCACCGAGCAGTCGTTATTTAGTGTGCGTATTGCGTTGTGGTTATACTTTTTAAATGAACAGTTCAAAGATTAATAATATCAGTACATGTGGTCAGTGTGACCTTGACATACGTCAGATACGATGTGGTTGCTGAAGTGTTTTGTCACGGACGTCACTGTTGCTGCAGATAGCCGAGGTTGACGCTGTGCACATTATACCGCCAAATGACACATTCTCCAAGTCATCTACGCCTTTCCGGCAGATTTGACTTGTATTTAGGCCGTGTTCCGCCAACGCAGGGGGTCGTGGAATGTGACCGCCTCCTCCATGCACTTGCTGATGCTGGGATGCAGAAACTGCTGCCACAGGCAATTATGCAAAATGCAACATTTGTATTCTAAAAGCAAACCCCTCGTACACACGCACATGCTTTTATAAATGATTGTAGGATTTTGCGGTCACGTGTTTATTCAAACTGACCTAAACAGAACTAGTTAATAACGCAATTACCGTAAATATGTATATTAGTGCCACATTTAGACTACTTGTTCCTATTTGTAGGGGTAATTAACGTTGTTCGCCGTGGCCAGTATGGCATGAGTGTGTCACGCCATGTCAGGCCACTGACTCCGTACTGATGAGAAGTATTTTCCAACAAAACATAACAAGGATTTGTCAATCGATTTTCCCAAACCATCTGGTATCAGAGACCCCTTCCTACGGGGGTATTATAATCTCAATTTCACATCTCTCGGCTGTGTTGGGATCAAATGCTGCATGTTACACATTCGCGATTACACATGCGTCTTTTCCTTCGAGCAAACAGCGCTAGAGAAAAGGTTACTTTCAAAGTAACGCCATGGTACACC